TTAATAGTTTTAAAATGTGCCACTGCATTATGCACAATAGATGAGGTCCCACCAAATACCCCCCAAATTTAAGTGTAAAAAGCATAAAGACATCAATCACTGCCTTTGTATACAGTAATGATCTGCTTCTTATGAACGAAGATCATTTTGTGTCCATTCTTTCAGACTAGGGTGAAATGGCCAGCCAGGCTGGTGCACAGGCACAAGCCCCACTCTCTAGGGACCAGGGAGAGGAGGCTTCTTTAGTCAACATCAATACTCAGCAGCGCCCGAGAAAAGCAGTGCCCTTCACAGCATCCATGCTAAAAACTGTAATTTTATCTTCAGTGAAACCACATTAAACTAACCACATTATGACCACCAGGAAAAAGAAACTGCACATTTTAGAAAGAATTATGGAAATATTCAAAACCTCCATTATACTAGCGAAAAAAATCACATGGTCCATTTTTTCAGCAAAGGCAAGAAGACAGATTTAGGAAAGACATATAAACATTCCGCCTAATAAAACCAGTGCTCAGAGTGCTCGCCACCTTCGGAAGACTGGAAGGTTACAACAACAATGCCCAGAGCTTGCCACTGAAATAATTTCAAGGGGCATGAGGCTCACATAGACATCAGGACACTGACTCAAAAGCTTCTCACCTGTAACTGGTTAGTGTAACAGAAACACATGTTAGAGACTAAAAAGCAGCCATGAAACTTGCACATGCCATCTGCAGTCTGCAGTCACATCCACACACAAGAACGCAATCAGGGACAGCCTGTCCCAATCCAGACACCCTGGGACACAGTGCAGTATTCTCATCACAATGATTACTCTGACAGACGTTTACAAAGACATAACTGGTACTTCCACATTTAATATACCTGACAGCATTCTAATTTAAGTGCTAACCCCCACGCATAAGAAAATCAGAAGGAAAATTCAACATCAATTGAAGTTTGAGGCAAGGTGATATTCATATAGCAGACAAAAAAAATGATCCTTGAAATAAACTGAAGATCTTTTATCTTCAGAATCCTTTAAGTTCAACAGAGGGAGGGTAAAAGGAGGGATCACACCTATGGAACATATGACAAGGGTACAAGTCAAATCTGTGAAATGTAGAACATAGATGTTTTGGCACAATAATCAAGTAAATGAGGTGAAAGCTATGTTGATTGGTTTAATGTAACCACTTTAGATTGTATAAAAAAAAATCAGCACATTGTACCCCACATATGCATGAATGTATTTATGATTTATGTGTATTTGACTTAATAAAAAAAAAAAGGATTGATAGGGGGCGGCGCCTGTGGCTCAGTAGGTAGGCCGCTGGCCCCGTACACCAAGGGTGACGGGTTTGAACCCGGCTCTGGCCAGTTAAAACAGTAGTGGCAACTGCAACAAAAATAGCCAGGCACTGTGGTGGGCGCCTGTAGTCCCAGCAACTTGAGAGGCTGAGGCAAGAGAACCACCCTAGCCCAAGAGCTGGAGGTTGCTATGGCTGTGACGCCACGGCACTCTACAGAAGGCGACAAAGTGAGATTCTATCTCAAAAAAAAAAAAAGAATGGATAGGCATACTAACCAAAAAAATACATAGTTTTTGTTTTAATAAGAAATATTTTTAAACAAAATCAATACCACCAAATAGAGAAGTTCCAGGTGGCTCACACCTATGGTCTCAACACTGTGGGAAGCTGAGGTGGGATGACTGCTCGAGCCCAGGAGTCCTAGACCAGCCTGAGTAACAGAGCAAGACCCTGTCTCAAAAATAAAAATAGAAAAGTTGGCCAAAAGATTTTAATTTTAGTCAATGTTTTTCTTAGCTTTAGATTCATTCTCTCAATTCCACAGTAAAACCATGAGTTAATGTATCCTACAAAGTAACTTTTAGTTGCTGCAATTATTCTAAAAGTTAAATCTTAAGAGAGACATTATTATATGTTAGTTTTTCAACTGAGCATTAATCTTTACTGCTACGGCTGTGGCATTTAACAAAGGGAAGGAGTGAAACGGTCTCCACACACTGAAAACAAAAGGTCGACCAGAGCACTGCTGCTGGCCACACTGTCACCCTGAAGTGATAGGAGTAAAATTTTATTATTTTTAAGTCTATTTAAATTGGGCAAGCACTATTATTGGTTAATTGTGAAAATTAGTAAGTAAATGAGATAATTAGTTACTTACTGCCAGGCTGGCAGACAGGCATGCACACTGATGCTCTCTACACCATCATCTGCCAACTGACAGCCCAATAATCAGAGCAATTATGCCAAGCAGAACCACTGAGACCACAACAATTACCCACTTTTTCTGTTAAAGAAAAGGGAGCTGATTATATCATGGTTAATTTCACATGGCCACATTAAAAGACATCCTTCACTTGAAATAAAATGATCCATAATAACTCACTATAAAATCTAAGTTATAGGACACATGCTTAATCCTGTTTGGCAATTTTTAGTTCTCAAAAAGAGCGATTTTTAATAAAGTCAGACTAGTTGGAGATAAATTACTATCTAACCCTTAGACCATTAGGTTTCATCCATGAGAAGAAGCATGATCATTTATTTTGATACCTTCTGATGGTCTAAGACACACGGCTTCCCGCCTGCTACACCCTCAAGGCGTGCCCTGTGCCTCTGATTTGTGTGCTGCCGGTGCTCCTAACACACCATATAGAAGGCAACCTTCCCAGTGGCGCTGCCTGGTCCCTGAGGCCACAAGCAGCTCCACTGGGCACAAGCACAGGATGTGCTGGAGGCCCAGTGTGTGGGGCAGATGCAGTAGGCACACATGCAGCAGTGGCAGCACAGGGACCAGCTGGTGGCTTTGGTTATCAGGCATTTCATCAAAAAGACAGTGATAGCCTCTGAGACAGGCATCATGTCTTGGCCCAGATTATATGCTGGGGGTGTGCAGACCCCAAGCACCCTCCAAAGCCAGGCTTACTCATCAGCGGGGGGAGAGTGAAAAATGTATCATATCCACCATCTTTCTTCTTAGTAAAACCAATGAATTTTCACTAAAATTTTCATTGGATTGACATGATTAGGTCATGGAGAAAAGAAAAGGAGCTGCCTTTTTTAAATGAAAGTCAACTTTGTGCTTAGAACTAAGCTTAGCAGCGGATACATGTATCTTATCACTATTCCCTAAACTTACACCAAGAATCAATATTTTAAGAAGCAATCACAAAATAATGTGAAAAACAATGACTTATATTTCAATGAACCTCTTTAGACATGCCTAAGGCAACCGAAATATGCTTCATGGGCAGATGTAACAGCCCAGACACGCATCCTGGCTGAGAATGCTCACGTGCAGTTAGTTACCCACAGGTGAACATGCACATACTACCCGACTCTGATTTCTCCTAACACCTTGAAACACCTCTCCTGCTTATGTCACCCTGGAAACATCCCCTGATCGGCACTGAGCCATCAGCCTCTAAGAAAGGCTCGATCCTCTTTAGGAAGGAGGACAAGCACTCAGGCAGCTACTTGGTGGCACACATCCATCTTCTCCATACTGCAGAGGAATGAAGGACTTTCAGGCAAGGACACACAAGATTCAGAGTTTTCTGGCCCCTTCGAACTTAATTTGTAGTTTCAAAGTTTCCTTGAAAGAACCTTCATTCACACACCACCCTTTTCAAATTCAGATAAAGACACCGAAGGTCACTCACAAACTCACGCCATGCTCAGCATCCCTGCATATTAAAAAGGAGGTGACAATATGAAAAACCTATCTCTCAAGTTTCAGAGGCAATAGGATAAAATGCCTAAGTCTGTAAAATAAGTTTTAAATTTTGGCCCAATCTAAAACACATACCCACAACAGTTCCCTTAACTCTTTTGAAAGCAAAGTGTGTGGACCTTGAGCAAGACTCCATTCTTTTGAGAATCTCTCTAAGTGAGTGCTATGTAAAGTTTTAGGTCCACAGTCTCAAATTATTCTCTTCTTTCCACCAAACTAAAGAATTCACAAATAACCTAAATAAAGAATGTTTACTGAATAAAATGTGTAACAGACAATTTTTAGGAGAATTTCCAATCCCTTTGGTTTTCTATCTCCCTCCAAATAACAGCCCAAGGAACAAAGCTTGAAGTTCAAATTCCCTACGAGGACAACAGCATGGACTCGGGGCTGTGAGGGCTTTAACCACTTAGAATACAGAAGCATTTATACTCAACATAATTTTCCTAAAACATTTTTAGAATTTTTAGCAAAAAAAAAAAAATTATTTAAGTTTTAAAATAAAACATTTACTGAAAGAATCCTTATTTCTTAAAACATCTTTTAGGCAGCCTTGAATTAATATACTACAACTTGAAACCAAATGAAAACAAAAACAGCCTAATTCTTTAAAGCCAAACTCACCCTCCTTGCTTTGCTGCGATATTTAACAGCCTTTTTAGTTTCTTCTTTAGCACGTTCAACATAGTCTGTGGCATTCATAACGTTTCTTTCTATGTTGTTGATCATTTCACCCTTAAAATGAGAAGTTTCAAACTTAGAAGACATTTCAAATGACTTAATTATATACCCTAAGACAACCACGTAACACGATTTCTATATAAACACAAAGTACACATAATGGATACCGAATTTTTTTCACATTTACAGAAAATAAAAAGTGAGACCACTTATAATACACCAAATATCAAAGTAATAAAAATTCAATTTATATTTTAAAAAGAACTAAAAGGAATGGGCAACAATGTTGGTAATTAAAGGCATATCAAGATGATTTTGCGATATGCTTTAATGTGAACACGTCTTACAGATGAGAACATGGCAGGAGGCAATAAGGTTTAGGTGAAACTAATATTTACTGTTATGCACAGACAGTAGACAAAGAATGATATCTTTTCTAACAGGTACAAAATTGTTATTTATTTCTTTAACATATCAGTAAACTAAGGACAGCTTGTATCTGCCACTTGACTAAATTAATGAGCAGAAATGTAAACTGAAGTGATAACAGTGAAGTGTTAGGGAGAAAACACAGTACCTGGTCCTCTGTGCCCGGCAGACAGAGTCTGCAGCAGTGAACAGGAAAGCAGTGGAGAAGGACGGATAGTTAACTTACACATCCGCAAATGTCAACTTACTAGTAGGCTCTGGCTATTCACACACTTCGCATTATCTGAGTCAATGTAGCACAATGCTAACAGCAGGCTAGACAAAATGATGCGACACAGCTAACACCACAGCAGTTGTTCTAATGGAGCTTGATCCAACACATTTGGTCTAGAACAATCATAAACTCTCAACTAATTATAAACATAATCTACTATTCTTATATCTCCTTGGTTTCTTTTGGACTACTTCCTGAAAGTAAGAAGCTGGTGGTCATCCCAACTCTCCACTTCCTGGGTCCTCCATGGCAAGAGGCCCACCCCAATCAGAAAGGAATGAGTCTGTCCTACCCCTGTGTGCCTGTCAAGTTTCCTTCGGCAAATGGCCAGTGCCTGAGCTACCCACACACTTCCACTATCCAGCCCCTCACAGTGAAGCGCTCTTTAGAAGGTGAGTGATGCACGTGGGCGGTGAACCCCCATGGGGAAGGGCGTCCTACCCCACCTGGGACAGCTCAGACAAGTTTGTAAAGTAGCCAACCAGACTGGAATCTTCCTAGAGGAAGGCCAAGGAGATGATTTACTGGCTGGTTTGAGGTGAACGTTTCTACCCAGTACCAATCCCATAAATCATGGAGTCCTAGCCTCACATGGTGCTCGGGAAACCTCAGGAGAACCTATTTGGAGTCAAAGAGCAAGGGTGAACATGTCCATACACCTAACAGATACACAATATCCTTGATTTTACTCTGAATTTTACATACATTTTTAACTTAAATTAACTCTTCAGCTCTCTCAGAAAGGTCTCCCCACCTCCTAACAGCACCATGTGACGTACAAGTTTGTCTCAGTGTCACAGATGAGTCCCTTGGGGGTGTATTCTTTTAGATACTTCTCATGATTACTACTGTAATATACATGCTTATAGAAAATAGAAAATATATACTTTTAGAGAAGACAACTAAAATTCACACAGTCCCTCTGCTATACTATTTCTTTCTTTCCTTCTGTGAATACTATTTAATACAGCCCAGATCATGCCACATACGTGTTTGTGTGTTTATTTATACATTTCTACATATATAAGATTTTTTTGTATCTTTTACCTTAAGAGTACCTTCTTCTAGCACAAATGTTTATATATTTCATTATAAATTCTCCACAAACAAAAATGTGTATATCAGGGCAGTGCCTGTGGCTCAGTAAGTAGGGCACAGGCCTCATACACCAAGGGTGGTGGGTTCAAACCCGGCCCCGGCCAAACTGCAACAAAAAAATAGCTGGGTGTTGTGACGGGCGCCTGTAGCCCCAGCTACTCAGGAGGCTAAGGCAAGAGATTCACCTAAGCCCAAGAGCTGGAGGTTGCTGTGAGCTGTGATATAACAGCACTCTACCAAGGGTGAGAAAGTGACACTCTGTCTCTAAAAAAAAACCAAAACAATGTATATATGACCTTATGGTTGCCCCAAACGCTGACCTATCAAGACACCATAATTTAATTATCCAGGGCTGGGCACACAGTATCTCATGCCTAAAATCCTGGCACTTTGGAAGGCTGAGATAGGAGGATCATTTGATGCTTGAGACCAGGAGTTTGAGACCTGTCTCTATAAAAAATTATTTTAAAAATTAGTGGGGCATGGCTCAGCACCTGTAGCTCAGCAGCTAGGGTGCCAACCACATACACCAGAGCTGGTGGGTTTGAATCCAGCCCGGTCCTGCCAAGCAACAACAACTACAACCAAAAAAAAAAAAAAAATAGCCAGGCACTGTGGTGGGCGCCTATACTCCCAGCTACTTGGGAGGCTGAGGCAAGAGAATCACGCAAGCCCAAGAGTTGGAGGTTGCTGTGAACTGTGACACTACAGCACTCTACCAAGGGTGATGAGGTGAGACTCTGTCTCAAAAAAAAAAAAAAATTAGCTAGGAATGATGGCTCATGCCTGTGGTCCCAGCTACATGGGAGGCGGAGGCAGGAGGATCACTGGAGCCCAGGAGTTAGAGACTGCTGTGAGCTATGACTGTGCCTTCCAGCCTAGGTGATGAGCAAGACATTGTATCTAAAAAAATTAAAATATTTAATGTACACAGTGATGATTTAATATTAAAAAATATAAGTAAATAAAAAATTAAAATATTTTTAATTATCCAGACCAGTCCCTAACTATTGAAAGTTTAATGTTCCTAGCATTTCAAGTAATACATATAATGCTGTATCAACTTTTGAATTTTGAGTTGGATCTAAAATAATGGCTTTCACAGATGCAGTGAGATCAACACTTCACTTCACATGACCGGCCGCATCTCAGGCAGCAGAGACGCCTGTAGTCACCTGGGTCTCCACAAACATGGCCATATCCATGAACATGTCATGCAGCTCCCGGATGCTGGTCTCCAGCTTCATGATGTCCTTGTGACGAGACTCGATCTCATTGAGAGCTTGTTTAGTAATTTGTGAATCTGATATAATCTTGGAAAGACAAAAATAGAAGAGAATATAAATGAACTCATGCCTGGTTTGGAAGGAAGGATAAAGGTCCCTGCACAGGCGCACCCGGCACACTCACGTCGGAAGTGAAGACGGAAGGCTTCCCGCTCTCCAGCATCTCCTCCAGCTCCTCGTCCGTGGTGGTCCTCCCAGCTGGAAGAGCAACGACCAAAGCCCTGCTCAGAACACGGCGAACTTGAAAATAAGGCCTTTTCAACCGTAAGTTGGCAACTAAAACCTAATTAACTTGTTCACATTTCTCAATAATGTCTTTCTACTCTTTCAAGTCTCTTCTTAAAGCAGGTGTTCAAGATGAGAGAAATGAACCTAAGACTGAGAAACAGCAAAACTGAAAAAGCACTCAGGAAAACTTCATAAAGGCGATAAATAATAACAGCTCGTTTTAGTACTGGTGAGAAACACTATTAAAAGGAAAGGGATAATAATGTTTTGTCATATCAGTTTTCCCACGAGTTTAGCTCTGGTGTACGGAAAGGGGGTTGGGCCAAACGCAGCATCCACTACGCAGACACAAGCAGAAACCACATGATTAGCGTCAGTGGCTGCAACACTGCCCAGGTTTGGGTGGTTAATATTTTCCTTTTAAGTAAAATGTGTTAATGCCTTCTAAGAAACATGTACATAAGCTTTTGGAAATTATAATTACAACTTTTCAGGGTCTGTGCCATAAAACACAAAATTAAATGGATAAGTGTTGTCATAATTCAAGTATCATTTACTATGAATCTTCAGAGCAGCATTATTCATAATTGCCAAAAAGTGGAAACAATCCAAATGTCACCTGGCACCTGAGGACCCTGGGTCAGAGAAGACAAGGGCACAGCAGGTGGCATAAGGCTCACCTTATCAGCCTTATGGGGTGGGGGGTGCTGAGCAGCCTAGGTGGAAATTGTTCCTAAGGGGCATTTGTGTCACAGCTGAAGAGCCTCAAGCTTAGGCAGGCAGCAAATCTGACTGACCTTCCTTACATACACAAGCCACCCTGCCCGAGGGAGACACCATCTCGGGCTTCTAGGGCTGACAGTACACAGACACTTGAAGAGACAGCCTGGAGCCCAGTGTAGTGACAGGAGAGACCCCCAGAGACATCTCCCAACCACAACAGAGGGGTAGAAACACTCTAAATGCAGAGGTAATTAGAAAGGATATAAATAAATAATAGGCTTGGTTGATTCAAAGAAAAGGAAGCTATAAAAAGTCTTCAGGTTTTAAACTATTGGGAAAAATAGAGATGAAATTCCTCTTTTGAACTTTGAAGTGAGACCTCAGGGAAGAAAGATGTATTGAAACAAAAGCAGAATCTTCATTTACTCACTGATTTCCAGCTGGCGCTGGATGCGGCCCTTGCTGCGCTCCCGGAACAGAGTCTGGGCTTCATTGTACTCAGTCATGACCTCCACAAATTTTCGAGACAGCACCGAGTGCTGCAACACAGAAAAACATCACACTGACATGGAAGGGCCATGTCCTCTACTGAAAGTGACATGTGAAAACGTAACATTTGGAGACACAAACTGTGCATTATACTCCTCCCTCAAATGGAAAATATAACAACAGCACCGTCCTAGGACGGAATCTGTGCTTAGAATTTACACACATTATCTTGTTCAGTTCTCACAATATCCTACTGTATTATTCACAACCCCCATTTAAAGAAGAGAAAACCATAATCTAGAGAGGTCAACTGGCCCATGGCCACAGGTTTTATTGATAAAAACTAATCCAGGCTGGACTGGAGCAGGCTGACTCCAGAGCCTGCAGCTTCATCACCTTTGCTAAGTAGGGATAATTGCTCTGGGCTCCTCTTGGCTGCTGCATAAATCACAAGCACAAAGTCATCTGGATAATTCTCTGCTCTTCATAATACATCTCTGTTGATGGGCTGAACAGAGTTTTTTCTTCATAATAAGGAGACACCACTCTACTAATTTTATATCCTTTTATGCAGAAATGTTATGAGGGTAAACATAACAGTAAAGATGAAACAATCTGGGGTTTGAAAGAAGTAAAAAGACTCATTCTTCAACATTTCCTCAATCTAACAAGGCTGATATCAAACCTGGGTTCTTCGTATCCGAAGATCCACCGAAGTTCGGTTCCCACTCTCATCTTGATCGAAACTTTGTTCAATGGCTGGAAACAAACAAGAAAGAGTTGCTTTTTTAATTAAAAATAAAAGTTGTAATCCAGCAACACATCAAGCAAATCATACACCACGACCAAGTGGGTTTTATCCCAGGATCTCAAGGATGGTTCAACATACGTAAATCTATAAATATAATTCATCACATA